CAGGCCAGGGGACACCTTGGCACAGGGTTGGACACTGTGTCCCAGGGCTTGCACGGAGGCTGGGTGAGACAGGGGCACATGCCAAGCGCTGACCCCAGCAGAGCTTTGCCAGGGACTTGCAGGGAGGCTGGAGAGCAGCCCCAGTGCCGAGAAGGCGACAGGGTCAGATCCTGCCTGCTGCTCAGCAGGATGCCAGGTGCTCCCCAGTCTGTACCCCAGGAAGGCACGGGGCAGGCAGGTGGGGGCCTGAGAGCCCCCTCAGCCCCTGTTCCGCTCCAGGGAGGACCCAGGGGCATGTGGCTAGGGTGATGGGCCAGCAAGCACTGTGGGACAGGGGGGGCTTGGCTCCCCCCAAGCACAGCCTTGAGAGCAGCGAGCGAAGGGGAAGCTTGGGGGTGAGCTTGGCCCCAAACTCAGTGCTGCTGCTTGGCATGACAAATTCCTGCCGAGCAGGACAGGGCAAAGGCCTCGCCATGGTCCAGTGCTCCCTGAACTGCTGTCCCCAGCCCCAGTGACCAGCACAGAGGGACAAGGTACAGCGGCTGCCAGAGCCCCTTGGGGCTGGCCCCATCCCCAGCTGTGTCCAGGGGGGTTTGCATGTGCACTGAGCCCAAACACGCCTGGAAAACACATGAGCTGTCTTGGCTTTACTCTCTGTTCACAGCCGAGCTTGGCCCCATGGCTGGCTGGTGTCTGGGAGCCTGGGTGCAGGGAATGGGGTGCAGGACAGGCTACAACAACCCAGAGCCTGTCAAGCCCCCAAGGGCTCTGCATCCCGCATTTGGGAGCGAGGGGGAAGGAGGATGCACCCTGGGCCATTCTTCCATCCAGGTTTGGCTACACCGCTTTGTTCTCCAGCCAAAGCCTGGTGGTGATGCCAAGCCAATGCTATAAATCCTGCTTTGGAAACACACTTTTCAGCAAGATGGTGATTTGCCAACAACCTCTCAGCCCCACTCTCTGCCTGTCCCTGGAGGCTGCTGGGTGCCAGCAAAGCCCTCGGGAATGGGGAGGTGGGCAGGGGGGGCCCCAGCCAGGCTGGAGGACGGGAAGGCCTGCCTGCAGGCACAGCTGATGGCACACAGACACCGAGAAAGCAGCCCTGGCACCGGGAACACCCACACACCCGCTTTAATCCCGGCCCCGAGGTGGCTGGAGGCAGCTCAGAGCAGGGGGATGCGGGAGGGCTCCCAGAGGCGCCGGGCCAAGTCGCAGGCCTGCTGGACCACGAGCTCAGAGGGGATGATGCCCAGGTGCACGGTCAGCAGCTCGTAGCACTTCACCACTTCTGCCTGGTGGTTCTTGCTGTAGTAACGCAGCAGCTTCCTGGGAAGGAGAAGACGAGGGGCTTGGCAGGTGCAGCGCAGTCTGGGGGGATGCGGGAGGGCTCCCAGAGGCGCCGGGCCAAGTCGCAGGCCTGCTGGACCACGAGCTCAGAGGGGATGATGCCCAGGTGCACGGTCAGCAGCTCGTAGCACTTCACCACTTCTGCCTGGTGGTTCTTGCTGTAGTAACGCAGCAGCTTCCTGGGAAGGAGAAGACGAGGGGCTTGGCAGGTGCAGCGCAGTCTGGGACCCACACCACCCTGCACCAACATCCCAGCAAGGACAGGACCACTCACCAGCACAGCTCTAGGCCCTGGTGCCAAACCACAAGGCTAGGGACTGCTCACCTGTAGTAGTCTCCTGCCAGCATCCCGATGGGAGCAGAATCATCGGAGAGAACCGGCACCTCCATCACCTCCAGCTTGTAGCCCTGAGGAGAGATGACAGCAAAGGACAGGAGCACGGAGGGCACCACTGAGGAGCTGGAGTTGGCGGCGCCTGCAGCCCTGCTCCCAGCCCTCAGAAGGTGCTGGAGGAGAGGAGCTCAGCCCCTTCCTGGCCCCGCGTACCAGCTCGTTCTCAAACCAGAGGAAGTAGGAGCAGCAGTAGTCACCATCCTGCAGCATGAGCGTTGTGTAGCCCTTCTGTAGGTATCGCCGGGCCAACGCAATCAGGGACCAGACCTGGGGGACAAGGAGCACCTGAAACCTGAGCAGAAAACCCTCCAACCGTCACCCCCTCCTGGGGTCCCCATCCCACCCTCAACCCCATGGGCCATACCTTCTTCTTGACGAAGGCAGCCAGGGGGCCCTTGCCCAGCTCCGAGCTGGACTTCTCTGTCACACTGAGCGACGGTGCCATCATCTGCCCGGCTGTGCGGTCCACATAGATGAAGTGCACCAGGCCAGGAAAGTCCTCCAGGTAAGTGGGATGGGTTAAGGGTGTCCAACAACTTTGGTGCCCTTCCAAGACAGCCCTGAGCCTTGGGGAAACTGCTTTCACCCACCACACTCCTCCCCTTGAGCCTGGTGCCAGGGACACAGTGTCCTCCCCCTCCCACCTCTGCTACCCACCCAGGGACCTCTCCTTGCCAGGCTGGGCTCCCAGGTGCAGGGACGGGTATGACACCATGGTGATATTGCGTCTGCTCTTCACCAGCAGAAAGTCCCGCCAGTCCAGCAGCTTCTCCCTGCCAGAAGAGGCGCGGTGAGAGGCTGGGAACCTCCAAGCCCCAGCACAGCTGGGTGTGGCACAGCCCCCTGGGGATGCTGGTCACCCCCATGCATTCACCTCATCAGCTTCTGGGCACGGTCCCGCAGCCCCTGGGACAGGCTGTGACTGGCAGAGGCCAGAAAGAGCTGGCGGTACACGGAGCAGAGCTGCCGCTTCACGTTGGCCACTGCCTGCAGCAGCCTGAGCCGGGAGACAGAGATAGTGCAGAGTTTGGTCCCTGGGTCTCCAGTGTCACAGGGACAGTCGTGCCATCCCCTGGGCTGGAAAAGGTCCCTGTGTACCCTGGAGTCTTTCCCCAGCCAGCCCGTACTCACTCCAAGGAGCTCGCAGGCTCACTCCGGGAAAATATCTTGTTCTTGAGGTCCACCCAGGTGTTCTGCAACTAGAGAGAGATAGGGCTCAGTGTCAGGCTGCAGGGACAGCAGGACAGGGTCCTTGTGTCCCCACTCCCACCTGGATGTCCTGCCCACTCAGCTTCTTCACAAACTTGTCCATGCGCTGCCGCAGCTCAGCCAGGAATGGGAAGGAGCGTGGGGATCCTGCCTCTGGCCCTTCTTCCAGCTTCCTCTCCAGCACCAAGAAACCATCCAGCAGCTGGTACAAGGCGATGGCCACCTGCGTCATGGGGCCCTGCCAGGGAGGGCAGAGGTGGGTCAGCCAGAACCAAGCCCACCATCACTTCCCTCACCTTAAGAGGCAACTCACCTTGGTCAGGAGAACAAGGGAGATGCCCGGCCAGAGTGGGAGGCAGTGCATGGTGTGTGGCATCAGGGGGCAGTAACCTTCCCGCAGGTTGGCGTCCAAGAAGATCCTTCTGGGGTTTGAAGCCTCAGGGACCAGAGGCCCCAAGGTCTGGAGTAAGTCCTCTGCCATCTGGGGAGAAAAGGGAGATGCTCAGCCCCCCAAAGGGGACAAGACAGCCTGCACTGACCGAGGATGCTCTGGAGGGACACAGCATTGCCCCAAAAGCTGCAATTGGGCACAGATGAACCAATGGAGCTGGAGGGGTCACATGGCAAAAGATCAGCAATGAGGGAAATGCCCAGGGACCCAAAAAAGCAGCAGATACAGGGAAAGCTGCTTGCAAAGACACAGGTTGCAAACACCTTGCACCAAGGCCAGCACTTGCTCACAGAGAGTGTGTAAGCCTCTGCAGCACCTGGCAGGGAAGCAGCCCACAAAGCCAGGAGGCAGCAGAGGGAGACACCAGACTGCTCTGAGGCAGCCCTGGCCCCTCTGAGCCGATAGCTCTGGATAGGGAGAGACCGTAAGCAATGCCCCAGAGAGGGGGGATTTACAGAACTTCAGTCGCTCTCCTCCTGCCTCAGATGTGGGACGTGCCAGTGGCCAGAGCTATCAGAGTTATGCACATGAGGGACGAGGGCACATCCCCAGCCCTAGAGCTTGGGGCACCCTCAGCTGCAGCACAGCAAGGGACAAGTGATGAGGTCTGGGGACCCCAAAGAGCACCAGGACAAGCTGAGGCAGTGCAGAGCCAGGAAGGACAGCAGGATCCCTTGCTCACCTGGACTTCTGCAGCATCTGTCTCCCCGGTGCTCAGCATCTCAGCACCCTCTGACCAGCTCTCACTGCCTGTAGGGAGCATGGCAGGTCATCTTCCCTGCCAGCCCCTCATGCAGCCCCGGACCCTCCACAGAGCTGGGGGGTGTGGAGCAGCGCTGCTGCCCGGCCAGGCACTCACTTGTGCTGTGCCTGCCCGGTGAGGGCTCGGGTGTGTAGTAAACCTCTGCCACGGAGAGATCGTCTGTGTCCTGCTGGCAAGAATGGCTGGGTCAGCGATGGGAGTGACGCAGGAAGCCCAGCCAGTGTCCCCCCCTGCAGCTCCCGATCCCAAGGACTCCACTGGCC